AGGGTTAATATTTTCATTTTATTTCCTACTGCTGACTCAATGGCCTAAACCAAACTCCCCCAAAACCTGATAATCTTACTGTTTACTAAACATTACCATTGATATGTCCGTTTGCATTCCCAAAAGGCAATTGTGTATTCTAGTAAATAAAAGCAGCTGGGAACAGATGCTCAGTGGAACTTGACTACTACAGTTAAGCTTTCCTGGCTTCCCCCCATAATTCCAAATTAATATTTCTTGTCTTGTGTGTCAGTTTTCAAATCAGCTCTTTCTCCAAGCCTTTGAACCTGAAAAGCCATACTGGCTATGGCCTTTCACAACATTTATTCTTAGCAAACATTCCTCACAAAAACAAGCATTTCCCAGAATTGAGATAAGAATGAGAAATGAAACCAAAAGTCTTTTGTCTATATTGGGCATTGTTCTTAGTAAGTGGTGGCACAGTGGTAGAATGAACTCTTTTGTGAATCTGATTTTGAGACTATAGGCAATTCATACAACGTTTGCTACCTTATCATACACAGAAAATGTGTTCAAATGTGACAGACTCTGAGGTGCTTCAGGCACAGACTCTATCATCTGTAGACTCCCAGTGCTACCAAAGGCAGGTTTGGCTGCCTGCTGTGATGAAAGCCAATACTCATGAAACAGGTGTTGATAAAAGTAGGGGGGTTGTTCAGGTGCTGGCTTCCTGAGAAGATGGCTGATTCCTGACTGAAAAACAAGCTTCACATCTCTAGTCAAGCTGGTGGCTTTAATAAGGAGAGGGAAGGGAAGTGGGAGCATGCAGGCAGTGTTCTTCCTGATTATGGTAAAGATCTTGGTGTCAGCATGTTGAATCAATCTGCATCAGCCTAATTTCTGTCATCGGTTATCTCCTATCTGGACAGGAACAGAAACTGTTGGTCCCTGCAATGTACTAAAATAGAAGCTAAAATACAGGTGCTAGCAAAAAATCTGCTTCATCTTTTTGTTCTAACAGACTTGTTAATTTGTTGATTCATATTTAATTCTGGTTAGTATAATATTGTATAAATATTTTACACTTTATATTCTCTGTTACAATAGCATAGCAATAGACAGAATATAGACACTGATATAAGACACAGCATATGAGTGGGAAAATAAAGGCCCCAAGGACTGTAAGATGGTGGCTCTCATATAGAAAATCTCAAAGATTTGAATTAAACAACTCATGGAATATTGCACTTGTAAACATTCCTCTTGATGCCTCTTCTTTTGATAGATTTGAACTACAAACCAATCATGTGCCAGGAAGAAAAATCTGAATTTGAATCATTATTTCAGGCTAAGCATTTTATCCCCTTTAATGTTATGTGAGATAGATAGTACTACTGGCAAAAATTCATTCCACTACCCAGCTGTTCTCATTACTTGGGTTGAACTTCCCATTCATAAGACTTAAGTAAATATAACTAGTAACTCTTGGATGCTGGATTCAAATCTTGTCCTGACCGGCATTTAAACTCTTGCCTATTAGAAAACACCAATGCCTCTAGGGAATATAATCTATAATATTGTAATAACTATGTATGGTGCCAGATGGTACTTAAATTGTCAGGGGGATCATTTCCTATATTATGTAATTGTCCAACCACAAAGCTGTGTACCAGAAACTAAAATAAAATTATATTTAATGTCAACTGTAACTGAAAACTAAAACTTAAAATAAAGAAAGAAAACACCAATACTCCTATCTAAGGAAAAGTGTAGGAGAGAGATGTGGGTAGGATTTCTGGAGGAACTGAAAAGAGTGAGTATGAAATTCACCTGAAGAATACCTGTGCATCAGATCACAAAAGTTCGAAATAAAAGAACATAAGGAGAGGGGGCACTGGTCTGCAATCAATATTATAATACATCATATTCAGAGAAACATGATAAAGCAAAATGCTTTATATGGGTTTAAGTTTGAGGACCAACTATCAGAAATAACATTACTAGGAAACTCTAATATGAAGGATACAGAAGAGGAAAATCCTCTCTTTCTCTCCATAAACTCAGAATATCCTCTTTAGATTTTTACACAACACACCTTTAAGAGCATAGCACACTTTTGAGTTGGATGATCCAAATCAGGTAATAAAATATTGAAAGATTTATTCATTTTCAAACTAATCATTTCTGGAAAACAGAGTTTCAAGACTTAAAACTAATTCTAGCATGAAAGTACTGAAATAAAAACTAACTGATTTCATTAGCACTGGGAGCATGCTTCTCCCTTTGTCCTTAGGTTACATGAGAATTAGAACAGCAAAGCAGTTAAAGCACTGTCCTGAGGAAATCACTGATCTGCAAATTGTGCCCATGTCTCCTCCCAAATTCTATCTCTATCCTGTTTGTGATGTGTGTTTTTTTTATCTTGTGTTCACCCTAAACCTACTGGATTCACACACACTCACACACACACACACACAAATTAATTAGTCTTCTAATTAGAGTAATTTTAAAACAAAAAAAATCGCAATAAAAATAAATAAACAAACAGAATTCCTTTTAGTCAGCTGATTTTTTTTAAGGAAATACCAACTAGGAAAACCAAAAGTGAAACCACTTTTTTTACATCCTTCTTGTAGTATAAATGCAGGCACCTCCACCACAGCCAGAGCCCAAGTCTCAGGAGGAGATTAGAGTCAGCAGTTTACCAGGCTCTGGAAGGAACCCACTCTCCATGCAGAGCTCTCTGGAGTGATCTGAAGACAGGAGCTTGACCTAGAGGAGACAGGTAAGTGAAGAAGAGGGACAGAAATGGGGTAGACAAAGACAGACTCAAGGACTAAAATAGAAACAAACATTTATGGAAATAGTTTTAGGGGATAGTCATTGAAACAGCAGATTAAGATGTGCCAGGAACAATACATGAATCTGGCATAGTCACTGTTCCCTAAAACACAAACAGAAAACAGCTCCAAATCTGGATAAAAGGGAGTAAACTATTCAACAGACAATGAAACAATTTGGCAATCTGTATTATGAAATAAAAATAATCTAGACAAGTCAAAAGAAATTTTTTTTGACAGGATTATTGCAGTAAGGGAAGGAGGCTCTGGCGATGTGGAAAACAACCCAGCCATAGAGCTGCAAGCATCTCACAGGCCACGAAGAAGGAACTGTCTTCACAGGAAGGATCAACAAGGTTCTGCTGGAAAGAACAGGTGAGGAGGGAGTCGGGTATCAGGGAACGTTTTCCCCTGAGGTTTGTTCACTCTTAGGCAGGATCTATAACTGGTTCCCAAACTTATTTGGCCTACCGCCCCCTTTCCAGAAAAAATATTACTCAGCGCCCCCTGGAAATTAATTTTTTTAAAATTTTAATAGCAATTAAACAGAAAGATATATGTATTAATGTTTCTACCTTTTTCGTAAAATATAGTAAAGAAAGGTGTAAATTAGAAACAATGAAGTTTGAAATTATGAAATATTTTTTGAACTCAGAATAGAAAGGTAATACAAAAAAAGTTAAAACAAATGCACCTGTAACCATCACCGCCCCCCTGGATCGCTGCAGCGCCCACCAGGGGGCGGTAGCGCCCACTTTGGGAATCACTGATCTATAAGGAAGGGATGTTGGCTGGATCACAAGGAGGGTGGGTCAAAGTTCAGGGGACTGGAGAAAGGAGGGAAGTGGAGTTAAGGTTTACTTGCTCTTGCAAGCAGTTTATTGTGATTGATCAGTGAAGGCAAACAGCTCAGTTCATCTTTATTGAGGCAAAAATAATAATTAAATCGTCTGTGTCTGGCCTCATTATAAGTGAAAAGGGACATTGCTGAGTCTTATCTCTAAGTCATATGGGGCAGTAAGCCATGGAGGAAAGCCCGAAAGTCTAAATTTAAGCTTGATTTTGAAAAAATTACACGTAGCTTTATTTAAATTTATTAGAGCTTTAATAGGAGAAACTTACATACACAGACAAAGCAGCTGCTTGCTCCCAGTGGTGGCTGGCAGGGAATAAATCCACACCCTCCAAGGGCAGGGTCTCTTCTCCATAGGGGTTAACAGTAAAAGCATATGGTGGGTATCACATAGGTCACCAGAAAGAACAATACATTTCCAAGTTAACAGATAACACCCACACTCTGTACCTTCATTAACCTCCTTCCTGGGGACATGACCTTTCTCTTTGGGTGGCATTCCAGCTTTCTGGGTCGTCAGCAAACCTGAGGCTACAGAGTTAAACAGTGACAGAGGGTTAAGCAGAGAGTCCAACATGTTCCAGACCCTTTACAGCTAGAGACATATTATATCCCCTTCTTCCCTTCTAGTTTTGTTGACTAGTCTAATAATCAAATTGACAGAAAACAGATTAACTGGAGAAAACCAAATATAATTATGTATATACAGAAGTCCTCAAAACACATGAAAACTCAAAGGCAGTCAGGCAACTGATGCTCATATACCATCCTGTGCTACGGAGAAGGGTGTAGGAGTCTGGAGTTTCAAGGGACAGGACATTTCACAGGATGATGAGAAGAGCAAATGTTTGGTGAAAAAAGATTTGCTATGCCATGCAGATAAGTCTTTCTGATTAAAAAAAATGTTTCACAAAATTATGAGAAGAGCAAATGTTTGGTTTAAAAAATGTTAGCTGCACTAGGAAGATAGTCTTTTTTTTTTTTTTTTTTTACATATAAAGTTATCTCTGGTAATAGCTCTCTTCCTGGTATAGGACCCCTATGTAAAAAAAAAAAAAATAGCATTTAAGAGAGAAGTTAAAAGCTTTTCCTGAGTCGGCTGGGTCTTAATTTCCTTCAGCTCAAAACAATGCACTTGCCAAAGTGCCACAAGTATTCTGTATCTCCCCCATATACAGGATTAAGACAACTGTGAGGTTGAGGAAGGGTGGCAGAGTGTAGATTCTAAGAGAAGAAACTGAGATAGAAAGTAGGAAGAGGGAAAAGAGTGGTTGTGGAAAGAACTGGGTTGTGGCCAGATTATGAGAGGCCTTGAAGGCCATGGCCAGGTAATGTGATCATATCCTAAACCAATGAAGAGTTTTCAAAATTTGTAAACAAATGATTTAAATATGAGTTTCGGTATGCAATGTCCACAGTGGACCACAATAGGGAGAAAAATAACAGATTCAACAGCTTTTCACACAAATAAGTCAAATAAACAGGACAAACTAATGCCCAATCCTCCTATATAATAAAAGCGTAATATGCAAATCGACTGAACAGCTAAACAGTGGAATGACCATCCAGAGACTGTCCGGGACCACTGGTGCCAGGCCAGCCAAGGTGGGTGCAATGCGATTGGTCTGGGGCTGGGCCATGGCCCCATGATTGCCCCGTAGAGGGAAGCCCAGGCCACTGGCCGGCAAGGTGATCAATAGGGGGGCTCCGCGATTGCCCCAAAGAGGGAAGCCCATGAGGTGTGTGGTGGCAGAAGTGGGCAGCGCCAGACCAAAGCAGGTGCAGGCAGCGGGCAGGGCTGCAGGGCCATGAGGCAGCTGGGCTGAGCAGGACTACCCTTGCACACATTTCTGGCCTTGGGCCTCTAGTGTTTAATGAGTATCCTACAGGAACCACACTTTAGGGGAAGAAATAAGAATGGGATTCCAAGATATAAAAGGCGCCTCCATCAGCTTTTTCCTCAAAAAAAAAGGCTAGAGCCAGAAAGTTTGGATGAGTTTCTGATTCAATAAGCCATTCTACACCATCAATCCAATGTGTCCAAAGAGCATCTCCAATACAAAGGGAATAAACATGTTACTGGACAGGGATGGGCCTGGATGGCCTGGAG